TGCCAAAACTCTATTTCGCACCAAAATCCGAAACCAGTTATCTTATACGTGATTGATTCGTCCATAAATTATAGTCTCACCAATTTCACTTAGTGATTTTCAAATTTCTTATTGAAAGAAATCTAAAGAATGAAAATCATTTGAATGAACAGATGGATCATTGAAGTGGCTAACTTTTCTGTCCATAAAATTATGATGATTGTAACCTGCAACCAAAATAAGATATAAGTTTACGTGTTTTCTCTTAGTCAACATTAAAGATAATATATTTATTATGGTGATTGATATCAATATATCAAAATACATGCAACATATGGAAGATCTTAGTAAACCAGAAAGCAATAAATAATCGTTTTATTATGATCAGATTATATTTAACATTCATATTGTTTTTTTTCCGAAAATCTATCAGCCCAGCTGAATACGTATTCTTCACAATTAACAATGTAGGGCCAGGAAAATGTCTGTGGGTCCTAGCCAAATCATGCTGACAGTTGTGCCAATGAATATCGAATAGATCATCGATCGTCGTCAAGGTCAAGGACAACCAACAAGCATCAGTTAATCGTATGCCATGAACTGGCGCATTCATTGGTGATCTCGCTATCTTCTCAGTACTTATTCTTACTAATATATTCCCATAATAACGTTCTTTGTGTCATGCTGTCTTCAAAGTAGTCATAGTGGTTTGATACGTCGAAGGTTGACCGCGAGGTGTGACTTTGAAGTTAACTGGTTCGTCACACCATTCCTATTTAACTCATTCAACATAGATCACTTACGCTACTGATCTACAATGGTGAATGTCTTGAAATGTTGCAAATAAACTCATAACAAACAACGGCACATCATAGTTTTTCAAGGTAAATTTCACACATAAATATTTAATATTACCAATTCCTATATACATATAAATTGGATTTAATCAACACAGAGACTATTGGACTTTATTTTCCTTAATATTCTTTGAAGTATTTACTATAAATAGACCGAATATCAAATTCTTTCTTTTTCAATATTGATAACATCATACATGGATATTTTACAATATAGGTTATCACTCATTGTAATAACTGTGTAGTTGAATTCAGTGTAGTTTACAAAATGTGACAGCATACGATTTATCTCATCATTGCGGCATTCATCTAATCAAAATTATATTTCTACTTATACACTAATCATTGTAGTTTATACAATCCTTGACAGTGATATTCAAATGTTAGTATGGTTAATAAGAATGTTTTGAAGTTTCAGTAATTATGTTCTATTCAACTATTTAATTAATATTTTCGTGAAAACGATAAAACTTCTGTTGTTAAAGTATGTGAATATCTACACTAGTATTAGGATGAAATTTATGTATTGAATTCCACTGGAACTGATCAATCCAATTTTGTGAATTAATTCTTAATTATCAAAAGGCGGCTTTGTGGAGATTTTAATAATTTAATAATTGAATTTATGAGTTAATTAAAGTTAGATCATCATGCAAAACTTGAAAGAACTAGACGACTGTTTCGTCCTAGTATGGGACTCTTCATCAGTGAGTATCCATGATCCTTCTGATAAGAATCAATATCTGCTTATTAGTGACTGGTTTCAAGAGGTATTTCCTTGAGTTCTAGTGAGAAGCAGTCATCAGTGGAGTTCAACAGAGTCTGTTGTGGGATAGTAACTCATTGAAGGCAATGGTGGATGGTGGCGCAGCTCCGTGGATTGGATGACGTTAGATATTAACACCGCTGGATTCCGGCTGGATAAGTGGTCTAGAGGTTAAGCGTTCGCGCACAAGACTGATAGGTCCTGGGTTCAAATCTTGTGGATGTGCACTCCGTTAGAGTCTCATGTGTTCCATGGTTATCCAGCCTTAATTGACTCAGTAATACAACAATTAATTCTTAATTTACAGAATTTGAATTATATCGAAGATTTCGTCTAGCTTTTCTACCAAACTATGTTATTCTCTACGTTTGAGTTGTAAAATACTCATTGGATAGAAGCTTATATCATTCAGAGAATTCACATAAATGTTTATTTAAGGAATAAAAATAGTATGGGGGTTTGTACACATTGTATCATTTTCACAGTTGATTTCACGAGTCGATTTAAGTTTGACCATCATTGAAAACCTGAAAGCACTAGACGACTACTGAAGAAACGTATTTCATGTGACAACCAAGGATCACTTAGTTCAATTGAATTAAATATCCCAAACACTTCGGCGTATTGTAATATATAACTTGTAAAAAATATTTTAAGTCCATGGTTATTTACCAGTGTTGTTTTCACATTAGTATTTACTCTTTATTAGTTTAGAACGTTTGTAGAGATTGCCGAATATCATAGTTTACATCATTGACTGATCTTCTCTAGACAACTAATGAGAATGTTATGACTGGTGATCAGCTGTTATGACTGCGTCACCAATTTTTATACCTGATCGTCGCTCATTTTTATGTCGGAATAGCTTATCACTTATACTTGTAAAGGAAGGAATCACTACAATTTCCATTATGCGAAAGTAAAAACACAAATAATGGTACAAGTGAAAATTTATTAACCCTAGTCGAAAATACACTCATTTATGTGTTGATTGTACGACCATTTTGACTATTAATTAGGATGAAATCACATATATGAAAAATGCTCAGAGTTTTCAACAAATCACTTGCTTCATGTCATGCTGAGGCTAATTCACGTTGACTTAATACAAGAATATTGTATCTTATACAGAACAAAATATCATAGAGGTAAGCAAAACAGTTACTACACTAAGTACTTATCACTTGGAATTTAAACAAAAGTACTATTGATCAAAAATAACAATGAGTAAAGAATTTAATTTTGCCTTTTCATCCTGTCACATCAGATAACCACAAAGTACTGGAGACATGTTTCCTCCCAATATACAATAACTCAAAAATACTCCTTCATGACTAAATCAGGGGTCGAACACGCAACTTTCGTCCTTAGAGCAAGCGCCTAACCTTTATACCATTGAGTAAATATCCCTTTTAGTCCCATACAGTTATATAATCATAAAAATCACTTTACTGTCATAACTTTAACAAAACGTTCTTGTGAGAAGCAGTGACCTGTGGAGTTCAACCAGGTCTGTCGTGAGATAGTAACTCACTGAAGACAATGGTGGATGTGTCGCTCAGTTTCGTTGGATAGTTGAAATTAGACATTAACACCGTTGGATGCCGGCTCAGTGGTCTAGTGGTTAAGTGCTCGCGAGCGAAACCAGTAGGTCCTGCGTTCGAATCTCGCAGGGGCGAGGTCGTGGATGCGCACGGCTGAGGAGTCCCACAATATGACAAAACGTCCGTCCAGTGCTTCCAGGTTTTCCATGGTTGTCTAGCTTCAACTGACTCATGATCTTAACCATTGAAAAAAAGAATAAAGATTCGGGTTAAACTAAAAATTTATGGACAAAAACTCAAAATACAGTTGTAGTTCATGCTTAATCAATTCATTTGTACATTTATTTTTCTCTTATTCTTTCCATCATAATGAATTTATTCAACCTTAAAAATATTATTCCTTATAAAATTCAATTGTAAACTATGAAATGAAAACACTAGTAACTAATAAGTAATCATTTCGTTTACTTACTACTTACACATGTTACCTGTCGCCATCCAACCCTATCCTGGACAATCTACTAATGTTTATTCTTTACTTCTATTTATTTATTTATGACCTGGTACGGCCGAGAGTGAGGAGGAACCGCTCTCCCACTCCAAATGCTCTCACATGGCCACGCGGATATAGCCTCTGCCAGAGGAGTCCAACTCACTGCCTTCTCGTGGTGGGGGTGTTGTTTACGAAATTGAGAGGACGAAAAGCGAATGTTCGGCGCTTTAACTGGGTTGGTAGACATGGAGAGTCCGCCTAGGAGAGTTGTAAAACCCTGATTTCAAACCAATGGTGTACATCGGCTTCAGGATCCTGAAGGAATAAACCGATCGTTGGTCGCCGGACTGCATTTTCTTACGATGCTTCACTGCCTTATGGATCAGACTTTCAGGTCGAAGGCTCGGGGAGTGGCCCACTAAGGAAACCACCTGCCTCGGTTTGGGCACCCGGTCAGTATCCCATCCCTCACACAAATCTCATTTGATTCGTGTGGCGCATATGTATCTGGTGCCCCTTTGTACCAATATCTATGTGTTAAAATAATAAATAATAATAACATATGTCTTTTAAAGCAAACTAATGAAAATGTTAAATTTATATTCCATATTTATTTATAGTTATATGTTGTTAATCTACAAACTGCATGCAACTATGTAATTATTTATCAATTGTGTAATTTTGATTTAATATAAGCGCATTGAAACAATAGTTTTCAAGTAAAAGAAAAAAGGAAGAAAAAAATGGAAAGAAAAAGGAAAAAAAGAAGAAAAAGAAAGAACGTGATTACAATTTCTTTGTTTGTATGTAATAAGTGGAAAGAATATTGTTTGAATTGTATCAATGAATATTAGTCACGATTTTAAGTTTTAGGAAAATAATACCCTATTTCAAAGGAATGTTTGTTTGTTTGTTTCTTTGACAATTCAACGGAAGTGTTTTCAATAAAATCAAGTTAATAAGAATTAATGTACAATTTGGTGATAGAATTTCAATAAAAACCTTAGTGATAATGTATCGAGCTAACAAAATAAGAACAAAAAATATAATATGGGATGGGGGTGGTTTCAAGAATCTATACTACTCTGCATATGTTCAATCTTCTATATAAATTATTAGTTTATAAATCTTAAAAATCATAAGCAGTAGGCAACTATTTCGACAAATTATAGGTTTCAGTAGTGCCTAGACATAAACTTGCTAAAAGTCAAATTTGAAACCGTTCGGTGTACTGGCCAGTACTTGATATTTCTAATTAGTTAGCGATATAATCTAATGACTATCTAATGTAATTGGTAACGATTCCTTCACCCCAACATAATATTAGGATCTCGTGAACTTATCTTAAGACGATTGAGTATATGATCGTTTTGTTAAGGTTTGTCATAAAAAAACTTAGTTCACTAGAGACTTGGTTGATGTGAATTGATTAGAAATATCACCTTAAACTTCAAATTATTTGCACTAAACATTCCAACAAAAATACCACAAACAAAATACTCTACATGTATGACTATGTTTGAAACTTGTATAAATAATTCAGTTTACTGGTAAAAATGAGTGATAATCACATGCTATACAAAGTCAATCCATGTAATTAGTATTGTAACTATCTCCGCAAGAGATAACTATCATGGGTGTATTATTGGGTAACTTAACCAACAACTAGTTGAACATCTCCCAGTTCGATATGGAAACGGCTAATCAGAGAAGTTATATAACTACATCTTAGCAAACCTAGTTGACGGTGGACATATGATAGATGAAATTGAATCATTTCAAGTGATCTATAGTATACCTTCGCCTTTTCTTAGTGAAGTTCAATCCCATCTCCAAACCAATAATCATAATTTGGGTGTCCGGAAGAAATTTGTGACAATCCTGTCTCTGCCTCAGATGGTTATGATTTAATAAACGATTTCATTTCTTTTTCCACCTTTCTCCGACTACATTCTTCAATATCTCATTATTTATAAACGTCTTGTAACGCAAATTTCACAATATAAATGGTTATCATTCTTAAGTCTATCTAACAATGTTCGACATACCTCTTATATTGAACAATTGACTAGAACTTTTGTTATTCCATTGTTAATAACGACCTCCTAGTAGACCTACCTTCTAACGATTAATTCATACTTTCTATTTGTTATGTGTATTTATACGATCTATTGCATTGCGATCATAGACACATAAATTGCCTTAATTGATTTAAATATTTTCATATAAATATTCACGTTTGTTAGAGTAAAGCCTGATGATGATGATGATGATGATGATGATGATGATGATGATGATGATGATGATGATAATGATGATGATGATGATGATGATGATGATGATGATGATGATGATGATGATGATGATGATGATGATGATGATGATGATGATGATGATGATGATGATGATGATGATCAAATTGAAAACAATATTGTTCGTTTACATATTCTGTTCTAATTTTCACAATGGTAGTCTTTAGTATATTATTATATTTACTGCTTGAAATGTTTCAAAAAGACACACTTTATGGCCCACACATAGAAGACTATCTCAGTTCTTCCAAAATATATGGTTATTACACATGATGGTAACTAAAAGAAACCCTCTGTCTTAAACTCTCTTAGTTTCTTCTTGCGTTATATCTACAAGATGTCATCTGCGCCCATACCGCTCAATAGTAACGTCTTCAACTGTGAAGCTGAGTGACACGGGATCGAATCTTCCAGAAGGGATTGATTTCCACAAAATTGCTGATATACCTTGTCGTAAAGCGCCAAAAAACACAAAACCTTGGTGGATAATTTTTTCGCCTACCTCTAACCACTTTATTCGCTAAATTAGCAGCAATAAAAGTTGAAAATTTCATGCAATTGGTTCCCTTTATGAATTTAAATAAAGCAAGAACAAATATTATAGTTATATATATATATATATATATATCATTGTAACCCAGTTATTTACACTCATCTATGTCAATTGTTTTCACTCTATCTCAATGTAAAAATTCTATCACATTTTTGGTTTGTAAGCAGCTGACGTGAAACCTTGAAATAATATGAATTCATACTATTCTGCATCAATGTTTGTTCTTGCTTTATTTGAATAAAAGTTAAACTTCTAAAAGCCTAAGCCTTTCCATGAAAGTCTGACAAACGTGCTTCAACATAAATTATTCATTACTGAACTTCACTGGGTAATCAGTGACAAGTGAAATTCAAAAAACATTGATCGATCTATGATCTCAATGAAATTTTTTTTATTGACTCAAGATGTACATAGAATCAAACATGAGTGGGTAATTTTTAAAAAAAAGTTAAAATAATTCATTACCATCAGCATGCATATTACATAATAACATAATATTTCAATAAATCTCACAACTTAGATTTCCAGCATTATCTTAACCGGAAAATCTGGCAGTGTCGAGGTTGAAACGTATTACATGTATACAAGAACCTATCTTTCATACAATTCTGTGCTACTGTTTAACATAGGTCAGGGTGTAGCACGTCATTTACCAGGTTTATTAAACAAATTATGAGTATTTTAGATCTATCTATAATTATGAACTAGAAGAGCTTAATTTTTCCCATACAAGTTTGTATAAATTAATAATGATAATTAATATGTTACTTACTTACTAACTTACTCCTGTTACTCCCAATCCAACATAGGCCGCCAATCAGCGTCTCCAACCCACTCTTTTCTGGACCTTCTTTTCTATTTTTATCCAATCGCTGTTCATTCTTCTCATGTCTGTCTCCATTCTTCAGTGTAATGTGTTCTTTGATCTTCCTCTTCTCCTTTGACCTTCAGGATTCCATGTGAGGACTTGTCTTGTGACGCAGTTGGGTGCTTTCCTCAATATGTGGCTGTTCAACGGATGCGAAGTATTTTGCGTAGACAACTGTTAATAAACACCTGTATCTTTTGAATTATGGTTGTGGTAGTTCTCCAGGTTTCCGGCCCACACAGTGAAACTGTCTTGACATTTGTATTGAAAATTGTGACTTTGGTGTTGATTGACAGTTGTTTTTAGTTTCAGATGTTCTTCAATTGTAAATATGCTGCTCTTGTTTTGCCGATAATTAATATGTATTATGTATGAAATATTAAATTAAAATTAAGCCTAAAAGCAGTAATACTACTTATTAACATCAATAAAAGTAGACATAAAGATAAAACTGACACTCTTTCTGATGTGACCTGGTTAGAGAATGATAACTTTTGGACACTAGAATATTTGATAAACATCAGAAGAATAAGGATTGAACAAATATTTTTTATATCAGAAGGATTTTTGTGAATATTATAGTAATTTCAATGGTTGAGATCATGAGTCAATCGTAGCTAGACCACCATGGAAAATCTAGAAGCACTGAACAGCCATTTCGTCCTGTTGTGGTACTCCTCGGCAGTGCGCATCGATGATACTACACATGAGTTTGTTTCAAATGTTTTGATGAATATTATTTTCCATTTCATAGTTAACGCAAGTATATAACCCTTATGGTGACGAATGCTGTGAATATGATGATTTTATGTCTTGAATTCACAAAATACCAACAATCTAATAGTTCCAATTGTTTTATAGCTGATTATATAATCTAATGCTAAGAAAAGAGGGAACAGATTTCATGATATTTCTTAGCTATAGACCGGTATTCATAGCCAAGTTTATTATTAAAAGCATTTGAACTCTGAAGTCTAATCTTTAAGCACAACAGCAACAAATAAAGATGCTGGGAGAAACATCATTTCATGAACATTCACTAGAATTGATCAGAAGAGTACTTTTCTATAATTAATATTTTGAAATTTTAAATCTCGGACAATCAGTTTGATTTGGAGATCAGAAACTCACTTTATCAGTAGTTGGTTCCCAATTGCACCTTGAATTTTCTACATATAAACAAGAATTTTTTAAAATGTCATTGTTCTTTGGAATCATAACATTGATTCTGCTTTAGTTTATCAACCCTGTTGTTGGATAGTGTGTTAAGAATGATTGGGGATACAGCACAATTTTGATTGTAAGTTATTTTATATTAATGTGTTCAGTCTTGTGAATTTTACAAACGAACTAACACGTTCCAAACAAGTGGTGAAAATGACTTATAGTATGCGGGCAAAAAATGTACTTTAAGTAGTTTCAATCAGTGAATGATGTTTGTTAGATACACATTCGAAACCAAAAAGCATTGATCAGTCTTTTCATCCTAATTTAAAAAATTCTCCACAGCGTGCATTTATGACACCACTACAGATTAAACCTAATAATGATCCGGTTTTTTGCAGAGTACTTTAAGTTTAAAACTCATGTAATAGTTTAAATAGTTAACTTCAATCAGTTCGCGATACTGTACGATCATCATTCATTACTGTTGGTGATATTTGTTACTCACGTGATATGAATAAATTCCTTCAGTCAAAGTCTATCTCTAGAACTTCAGGGATCAACTTTTGAAATTGGTAACTGGTAACCATATGGTCACTGTATTTTTATAAGCTGTTTTTAGGATTATTATGAGGGATTAAGCATAATGGGACTGTTGTGTGCGCTACCGATGTCAAAAGATATAAGTAGTATATATCACTAATCAAAAATGGAATACCGGGCTGTAGAAGGTTGAGAAAATCCAAGAGAAAAGAACGAGAACAAAGAATGATTAGAATGAAAGCGAAGGAACAAGGAAGTTGGAACAGCTGGTGAATATTTTGCAAATGAAGTATTTATTGTATGGTTCTCGGATTTCACCAAGAGATTTTGTAATTTTTTATAAAAATTTATTTGGTTATCTCCACTTAGTGTTCTCGTTTACTATAGAACTAGCGTACAGTCAATTGGGTACTTTATTTATGAAGCCTTTATTACTAATCTTAAAACTTCACAGCATAATAAATTTTGATCAACACATCATTTATCTTACTTAAATGCGCCTGCTACCTCTCATCAAGAAGCATAGGTAGAACACCCTCTCCTGGGCAATACTTTCCAATTTTTTCCTGTTCCTATTCATTCTTTTCATGTCTGCTTCCAATTCCCGACGTGATGTTCTTCGGCCTTCCTCGTTTCCATTTCCCTTCAGGATTCCAGGTTTGTGCAGTTTTGTAATCTCAGCAACAAATGTCCTATCAACTTTCAACGACTTTTCCTAATTTCCTCTTCAGCTGGAAGCTGGTATGTACTCATCAACAGTGGATCGTTCTTCGTGGTTTCTAACCAAGGTATATTAAGTATCTTGCAATCACATCAGCATCAATCACAAATAGTAAATGAATACATGCATTCTTAAAAATCTCATTTCTATTTTCTCATAGAAATGAAATAGAATACGCAGATTTACCCAAGTGATTCACTTAAATCATGGTTAAGCATTAACTACCAGATATATTGAACACAAAGAAAATCAATAGTTTTATGACTTCAGTAAGAGAGAAAACAACAGTAAAATGTATTAAATGTGGCTTCTGTAAATTTCAGTCTCATATTTTTTTAACCAATCCACGAAGTTGCGCCACCGTACATCATTGTCTACAGTGAGCTGATATCTCACAACAGACGTGGCTGAACTAGACTGGTCACGGCTTCTCACTAGAACTCCAGGAGTATCTCTTGAAATCAGTCACTAGTGAGCAGATTATTATTATCAGAAGGCGTTTTGTGAGGATTTTCGAAATTTCACTGACTGAAACCATGAGTCAATTGAAACTAGACCACCATGGAAAATTTGGAAGCACTGGACAGCTGTTTCGTCCCAGTATGGGACTCCTCAGCAGTGCGCATCCACGATCCTACACCCCACGAGATTCGAACCCAGGAGTCTCATACTAGGACGAAACGGCCGTCCAGTGCTTCCAGATTTCTCATGATGGTCTAGCTTCAACTGACTCATGATTTCAGTCAGTGAATATTCTAAAATCGCTACAAAACTCCTTCTGATAATAATCATCTGCTCACTAGTGACTGACTTCAAGAGATACTCCTGGAGTTCTAGTGAGAAGCCGTTATCACATTTTTCTCCTCATTCACTTACTCTCTTTAATTTATCTATTCCTCAATAACCTAACCAGTTTTGTCATTTGTTTGTTGTTTTATTTATCTTAATAGTTAAAATACAAGTCGAATACATATAAAAAAAACGAAAAACTCGATTGTGAAATCAAAAAGAAGTCAGTAACTTATTATTATGATTGTTAAACGTGGATAAAACTAGGAGGGAAATGATCAATTTTCTATTCAACCTATTATTATCGATAAGATTATATCACATAATTAAGTGATTTCTCTATCACATAGCTTCGAAATTTGTTTTCTTTTTTTAGTTTTGCCTTATTATTATGACTATTTCAATAATTAGTTTAAATTGTTAGAACTTTCTGATGTAACCGTTTAAAAACAAACAAACATAGGAAACGCTTATTATGAACATGATAGTGTGGTGGGTGCTACGGAT